TCCAATAGATTTAAGGTAGTTAGTACGGTTGTAGTTATTTAATACTACACTATAGTACTATTTCATTTTCCCTTTACATTCACTTTGTGAACATTCACACAATGCACGGTAATGTAAAAGCTATATTTTGGATAATGATAGTCAGATTTGGGAAAATACATGCACTTACCAGAGTCGCACACAGATACTAGATGCCTTGGTAGAAGGCTACATTTAGTAGGAAACATAGGGTTTTCTAGGAGTTTAAAACTTTTACATACTTATACTTCACATACTTACAAATACTTTCTTACAAATACAGACACTAAAATACTTATGATCTCACCAGCTTTAAAGCTGATACTCTCTTTCAAAATATCTTGTGTCCTCAGGTCACCAGTAGACAGGTACCGGTGCAAGGTTTAGAGAAGATGGAGCTCATTCAAGACTCATCTTTCATTTTGATTTATATTATGGTGTCTATATAATTTGTCAGAACACACTTGTATTAAAATTATACTATTAATGCAACGGATGATGTTGTTGCTTGTTTACTACTATTCATTGTTGTGATACTATACATGACGTCCTCCGCCCCAGAACGTTTCCGCCGTTCTTGGTTTTGGGGTGTGACAGATTGGTATCAGAGCATTGTTTATAGTGAATTTAGTATATCAACCCATAAAAGATATACAGACTATAAATACAATGGGATTAAAATACTCTGACAAAGAGTTTATACTTTAAATAATAAAATATTTAATTAAGTATATGTGCCTGCATTCATACTAAAAACAGTGTCACTAGGACAGTACAAAAGTATTACGATTGTTGGGCAGCACAAGTAGACTTAGAGACATATAGTCAAAACTGGGAAGATATAGCCTGATCAACTATATTATCCGAGGAGTGACTAGCATGTGCCTAAGTGTGGTTGTGAGGTTGCAACAAGTCTAAAATCTTACCAACAATACCACAATGAGAACAATAGAACATAAACCTAAAATACTATAGGAGTATTTTGTGTGTTACTATGAACTACTTATGTGCTAGATTTTGTACTAGATTCTTATATCCCTTTTCTCGCGTAGATAACATGGCTGGATTCCATCCCTACGACAACTTATACTTCCCTAACCAAGGTAATGAAGGCGGGTTTGAAGCTGATCCAGGAAATGACCACCCAATCCCTGTGGATGGTCACCAGGCTGAAGGCTTAGGAGATGGTTCTGACTCCGAGCCTGAAGTTGAGAACCTACCCCCGATGGCTCTTGTTCCAAATCCTAACCCTCGTCCGGCTTTTCAAGGCCCGACGCCTCCGTGGGTGGAAAGCTTGGAGACATGGAGCCAAGCGCAGGATCAGCCCATGCCATTTAATGGAGACCGAAGCTTTTATGACCTGAGCGAAGGGGGCTCAGCAGACAGAGCCTTGCCAATCCTGGTCCGCAGAGTGGCCCGGAATGAGATTCAAGGCAGGACAGCCCTACATCAGATCACAGAAGTTGTCGCCAATGCGAGAATGCATACCCTCCGCACCATTCGCCTGGAAGATGCTCGCGAGAGATCTGAGAGAGACCATGAAACCCTGCTGCAAGAACTGGCTGAATCACGAGCCGAAGTCATAGAACTCCGAGTACGCCAGAGGGTGTACGAAAGACACCTGCTTGATATGGAACGTCAACTGGCTGAACCAAGGGTTCACCAGAGGGATGACCGTCACCAGTAGTAGATGCCTTACTTCTTTCCGTGTTAAAAGGAATCGTTTTTCCTGTCTATGTCTATGAGACATTTTTGTATGAAACTATCTTGTACGGTAGGTACTTTTAGTTAGGCCTTTATGCGGCCAAGACCTTTCTACTCTAGATATGATGTAAGACCTTTTACAAGGTCAATTTTCCCGAACTTATTTCGTCATGAATATCAAGGATATTGACAGTCGGCTAACTTCTGAGTCATTCTTTGTTCAAATACTTTCATCATGCTATCATGGGAGTCTATCTGAAATCCACTCTAGTCGAGTTATTGAACTAGGGTAATTTAGCTCAGGGATCATTCCCAATTCTTTTTCAAAGGGTTGGATCATGTTATTTACCAACCGATGGTACCCTGTTTCAGACGTCAAACATCTTATGACCATTCTATGAACTTATTTCTACTCAGTACTAGGACTACATCATAGGGATGTAGGTCAAACCTTTGATAACATACTTCTACTCTTTACATGAACGATCGACAGACATCTAGGGTCAACCATAATCGCTCACAAACTCCTTATCTTTCGTATTACAGAATCATGTCGTCATCTGGAAGTAGTCATCTGAACAACGAAACCCCTGCCTTTCCTATGGACACCGCTACTTTCCAAGCCGCAGTTACAGCTGCCGTGATGGCTGCCGTGACAATTGAAACCCAAGATCAAAGGTTTGTTACACTTCTTTACATCAATAAAACACCATTGAAACCCAAGATCAAAGGTGTTTACGGTCCAAGAACACCTTAGACCGTAAACCCTAATAAAGGGGCCAAAGTGGCCCTAGTCCCTTCACAAGCTTTGGAAACTAGTCTAGACTCATTCCTTAATAGGTTTAGGACTTGGAAATGTCAAAAGACCATAAACCGTAAGGGTTTACGGTCGTAAACCCAAGTAGAAATGGTCTAGGGACCGTAAACTCCTCAAAGGAGTGAAATGGTGCCCTAACCTCTTCCAAAGGCTTAACCATCAAGTAGAAATGCTTCTAGGGACTTATAAGCCTTCAAAACACCAAATGGTCAAAGAAGTAGGAGTTTACGGCCGTAAACTCATGGGTTTACGACCGTGAACTCAATAAGTGAGGTCACAAAAACCGTAAACTCAAATAGAGGGTTCCCTTGAACCCTAACCGCAATGGCAATGTCCTACAACACTTAGATGCAATCCTTAGCACTTATAACACTTATATCAGGTGTTTATCATGCCCTAGGATGTCTTAACTTTGTTATTGAGTTGTTTAAAGACTAATTGGTTACATATATGTGATATTATATGTTAACTAGGATCATAGAGTGTGTACAAGCCTTCACTTGACACCTAGCGTCATATACAGTCCGTTCATCCCAACCACTCTCTACAGGTGAGTTCATACCCCTTAATCAATCTTTTAAATGTTTTTAAATGCTTTTATGGGGGGATACAAGTTGAATCATGCTAGTTATTATATCAATCACATGTGATTAATAGCTAGCATACAAATGGATTTACTACACTTTTAGCTGTTTTACCAAACAGATTACTTCAAATGGTTTTTCCAAAACGTTTTTACTTGGTTAAAACTCTTTATCAAACTGTCTTACATACTGAATGCTTCTTTTCAAACTCTGTTACATTTATGTTTCAAACAAAGGTTTTCTTATACTTTACTTTAAACTGTTCTTATGAAACAAACTGTTTTCATATCGTTTTACAAACTGACATCAAGTCATCTTATCTTAGTTACTAAACTTTTCAATGGTTTTACAAAATTTCTTTTATACTTTTATATTGTCAAATGCATGCCTATTTATGTATAGTTATATAAGTAATGTTTAAAGGACTTAGGAAGGCTAGCTCGCTTTATCTCCTTTTCCTCGTTGGGATGTGGTTTTAGGGCATCGGTTATCCGTCCGAAGGTCGTCTAAATATTAGTTATATATCATGTGTACATATATAGTCATAAAAGTTCTATCAGTCAATTCAATACCCTTGGGTAGCAAGGGTATACTTTCATGTTCATACGTACAAGTCATATTACTAGTAAACTACGATAGGCGTAGTTTAGGAAGTTACTAATACTATTACTAGAACAAAGAATCATACAATGAGTCAGTTCATTCATGAGTCATTACTTGCTAGATAGAAAGAGAACACACAATACAGCTAGTACACACAGAACATTACAATACTTGCTAGATAGAAAGAGAACACACAATACAACTAGTACACACAGAACATTACAATACTTGCTAGATAGAAAGAGAACACACAATACAGCTAGTACACACGGAACATACAATACTATACAGAGAGAACATACAGGCTAGACAGAGGGAGAACATACAATACAGCTAGCACACTCATTACATATACATTAGTACAGTTATGTGAGCCACTAAGCGGGGCATGACACTACCTGCCATGACCGTTTTTGTCTCCAGAATCTCCTTAATTGGGGAGCGTATGAGTTTGTGTATAGATCTATACTGGATTGACTATCCTACACCTTGATGCTCGCTACAGTGGGACTTGCAAGTCTACGGGTGCCAAATGTCATTTCTTACGACGTCTTACATCGTCGTTTTACTATTGAGTCGGTAGCAGGATACAGGCCGATCACATGGTACTTTAAATTCCAATAGATTTAAGGTAGTTAGTACGGTTGTAGTTATTTAATACTACACTATAGTACTATTTCATTTTCCCTTTACATTCACTTTGTGAAAATTCACACAATGCACGATAATGTAAAAGCTATATTTTGGATAATGATAGTCAGATTTGGGAAAATACATGCACTTACCAGAGTCGCACACAGATACTAGATGCCTTGGTAGAAGGCTACTTTTAGTAGGAAACATAGGGTTTTCTAGGAGTTCAAAACTTTTACATACTTATACTTCACATACTTACAAATACTTTCTTACAAATACAGACACTAGAATACTTATGATATCACCAGCTTTAAAGCGGATACTCTCTTTCAAAATAACTTGTGTCCTCAGGTCACCAGTAGACAGGTACCGGTGCAACGTTTAGAGAAGATGGAGCTCATTCAAGACTCATCTTTCATTTTGATTTATATTATGGTGTCTATATAATTTGTCAGAACACACTTGTATTAAAATTATACTATTAATGCAATGGATGATGTTGTTGCTTGTTTACTACTATTCATTGTTGTGATACTATACATGACGTCCTCCGCCCCAGAATGTTTCCGCCGTTCTTGGTTTTGGGGTGTGACAGAATTGGATACCCATAGACAATTATAAAACAAAACACCATTTTCATGGCTCCATACATGAATCACCTTAAGTTCTTGCAAACCATCTCCTTTGTATATGTGTTGGTGACAGTGAAGATTGTCGCTGGATCATCTGTAAGCCATGATGAAGAATGCTCAGCCTTGTTTCAGTTTAAGCAAACCATAATTCATCAATATGATGCTGCTTATGGCTCTCAAGTGTTCCATTCTTGGAACACTAGTTTTGAGTGTTGTTCATGGGAGGGGGTGGCATGTAGCAATGACCATGATCAGTACTATGGTCATGTGATCGGTCTTGACTTGAGCGAGAGGTCTCTTTGTGGGCATATCAACTCCAACATCACCCTCTTCAGCCTTGTTCATCTTCAGAGACTCAACCTTTCTGGGAACGACTTTGGTGAATCTGAAATTCCATATGAGATTGCTCGTCTAAAGCAATTAAGAAGCCTTGATCTCTCTTATTCTAGGTTTAGTGGTCAAATCCCGAATGGAATCTCGCAGTTGATGCAATTGTCTTCTTTAGATCCGTCAGGAAATTCACTAAAGCTTCACAATCCTAGCCTTAAGAACATGGTGCAAAACTTAACATGGATTGAAGAACTCCATCTCTACGGGGTTGACATTAGTTCTTCTGTACCTCATTTCTTGGCCAACTTTTCTTTTTTGAAGTCACTCCAACTAAGTCAATGTTTGCTTGTGAATGAATTCCCCGTAGCCATACTTGAGCTACCTAAATTAAAATTTCTTGATTTGGCATTCAATCCCAACCTCACTGGTTCCTTTCCCGAATTTCAAATGAACAACTTACTTGAAGAAGTGATACTATTTTCCACAGGTTTCTTTGGGATTATACCAGAATCCATAAGCTACCTCAAACATTTAACAGTCTTATCCCTTACTGAATGCTCATTCTCGGGGCCCATTCCAGGTTCACTCTCTAACTTGACGTAACTCACTGTCTTGGCTCTTGGTCACAATAAGTTCACAGGCTCAGTTCCTTCACTGGATAGTCTTTTAAAACTCGATGTTTTGGAACTTAATGGTAACAGATTTGAGAAAGGACGCTTTCCAAATTGGCTTAGAAAGCTTACTAAACTTAGTGAACTCTTTTTGTGTAAGATGAACATAAACGATGAAATCCCACCCTTTCTTGCCAACCTAACCAAACTTAGTATGATAGAAATGTGGAAAAATTCTCTTATTGGTCGTATACCATCATGGTTGTTCAACTCCACCCAACTAACAGATTTAGATCTTATGGCTAATCAACTGCAAGGACCAATTCCAAACACATTTTCTAATTTCAAAAGTCTTCAGTCTCTTAACCTAGCTGTAAACAATTTCAGTGGTAGGGTAGAACTCGACATGTTCCTAGGACTCAACAAACTTCAATCATTGTCCTTAGGTTATAACAAGATATCATTAGTACCCACCAACAACTACACCAATACCACTTTACCAGAATTGGAATCGTTAGGACTGTCATCATGCAACTTGAAGGAATTTCCTGCCTTTTTGCGCTTCCAAAATAAAATGGATACCTTACTTCTTGACCAAAACAACATTCATGGCCTGGTACCGGTGTGGATCTGGAACAACAGCCGAGAAACATTAGAGTTGATTAATCTTTCAAACAACTTCATAACTGGCTTTGATCAGCACCCTTATTTTCTCCCATGGACAAATTTAGAAGCAATTTTTATAATTGATAATCAGGTACGAGGACAACTACCAATTCCACCACAAACCACAGTTGTTTATCAAGTCTCATATAATAACCTAACAGGAGAAATACCACCATGGATATGTGAATTGAAATCTCTTCGAAGTTTAGATTTGTCTTTTAACAACATGAGTGGAACACTTCCTTCATGTTTGGGTATCTTATGCAATTCGCTGATGGCTTTGAAGCTGAGAAGAAATAACTTCCACGGCAATATGATGAATGCTTTTTTGACCGGAGGCCCGTTGACACAACTTGATTTAAGCGAAAATAGATTTACGGGTCAGCTGCCAAGATCATTGACAAATTGTACCAATTTAGAGATTCTCTCTCTTGAAGATAACTCTTTTCATGAATACTAGCTAGACAGAAACCCTAATGGGCTAAAGACAAAAAAGGGGCCCATAAACAAGCGGGCTAATAATATAGACTAACATCCCCCCTCAAACTCACAATGCCGCAGCAATAAGCATTGAGAGTTTGTCATATAAGAACCGAAACCGAGAAGCCGATAAAGCCTTCGTAAAAATATCCGCAAGCTACAAAGTTGATGAAACAAATGGAAGCGAAATGGTCCCAAGCTGTAGATGATGACGAGTAAAATGACAATCAATCTCAATGTGCTTCGTCCGCTCATGAAAAACAGAATTCTTCGCAATTTGTATCGCACTTTTATTATCACAATTCAAGGGAGTAGGTGAAGAAATGTAAACTCCCATATCCGCAAGCAGCCACCGTAACCAGATAATCTCGCATGTAGTTACAGCCATAGCACGATATTCAGCCTCCATGGAAGATCTAGAGACAACATCCTGTTTCTTGCTCTTCCATGAAATAAGAGACTCTCCAAGAAATACACAAAATCCAGTGGTAGACTTACGATCATGACGATCACCATCCCAATCAGCATCACTATAGGCACGTAACTCAAGAGAAGATGTCGAGGGAAACAAGAGAGTCTGAAACTGAGTGCCACGAAGATATCTCAGAATACGAAGAACAGCTCCCCAATGAACAGAGGTAGGTGCAGTAACAAACTGACTGACAATATGAACAGCATGAGCAATATCTGGACGAGTGACTGTGAGATAAACCAAACTTCCCACCACAGTACGATAAAGATTCGGATCAGACAAAGGAACACCATCAGTAGGAGAGTATCGAGCATTGGTTTCAAGAGGGGTATCAACAGTCTGATTGTCAGAAAGTCCCGCCCGTGTAAACAAGTCAGATATATATTTAGTCTGGGAAAAAAGGTACCCTTTCTTAGACTGAGCGACCTCAATACCCAAGAAATAACGCAGCAAGCCCAAATCCTTCATAGCAAATCGACGAGCTAGATCATGCTTCAAAGACTCAATACCACCATGGTCATCACCTGTAATAATCATGTCATCCACAAGGACAGAAGGATCCGTCCTGCACTCGAGCATCTAACAAACAGAGCAGAATCGTGATTACTCTGGACAAATCCAAGAGAGGTAATCACTGTGGAAAATTTCTCAAACCAAGCACGAGGGGCTTGCTTGAGCCCATACAAAGCTTTGCGAAGCCGACAAACCTCGCCCGGTCGGTGTTGAATTCCTAGAGGAGGGGTCATATAAACCTCTTCATGAAGGTCACCATTCAAAAAGGCATTCTTGACATCCATTTGAAAGATCTTCCACTGTCGAACGGATGCAACTGCAATCATAGTACGAACTGTCGTCATCTTTGCAACTGGGGCAAATGTCTCCTCATAGTCAAAACCATATTGTTGGGAATACCCTTTTGCTACAAGTCTAGCCTTATATCGTTCAACAGAGCCATCAGCTTTTGTTTTTATCTTGTACACCCAACGACAACCTATCGTATGTTTCCCAGGAGGAAGAGAAACCAAATCCCATGTATGAGTCTGATGAAGAGCAGTGAGTTCTTCAGCCATAGCATTCTGCCAAAGAGGATCTGAAACAGCTTCTCTATATGATTCAGGTTCAGACAGATGATGGATGCTTGCTATAAATGAAGAAAACGGTCCTGAATATGTAGAGTAAGAAAAATCCGGTAGCTTGGTGGACTTGACAGGACGAGAAGATCTCCTGAGGGGTGGTGGAGGAGGAGGATCCTCAACTTCAATAATCGGAGGATCAGGCTCAGGAACAGGTGGAGTCGAGGCACCCTCTGAAGAAGTGGGTGTGTCATGTGCTGAGGGATCATGTGGAATAGATGAGTCTTGAGCCTCTATATCTTCATTAAAAGGATCAATACGCAGAAGATCAGACTTTGTTACATTGTGGGCTGTAGCAGGAATCGAGTAGAAATGAATATGTTCGTAAAAAGTAACGTGCCGAGAAACATATAACTTCTGACTCACAGGATCATAGCAACGGTATCCTTTCTGACCAATCCCATACCCCAAAAATACACAAATAGCAGATTTCGGCCCCAGCTTGTTCCTTTCAACATGAGGACGAAGAACAAAACAAGTACATCCAAAAACTCGTAAAGAAGAGTAGTCTGGTGGATGGCCATATAACTTCTCAAAAGGAGATATTCCTGAATTCAATGAAGTAGGGATACGATTAATCACATACACAGCAGTTAGGACTGCTTCTCCCCAAAAGGCACTAGGGACCTGCGCAGACAGGAGCAATGAGCGGGCAGTCTCAACAATATGACGATGTTTTCGTTCTGCCACACCGTTTTGCTGAGGTGTGTCAGTACACGAAGACTGGTGTATAGTACCATCAGAAGCAAGTAACTGAGTGAAATCATTAGAGGTATATTCACCCCCTAAGTCACACCTGAAGCACTTAATCACAGCCGAATGTTGAGTTTTAACAAGAGCTCTAAAATTGTTGTAAATACCAAAGAAATCAGATCTGCGTTTCATAAGATAAACCCATGTATATCGAGTATAATCATCTATAAAAGATACATAATAGGTTGACCCACCCTTTGTGGATACTGGTGCAGGACCCCACACATCAGAATGAATAATATCAAAAGGAGCAGTAGAATAAGACATACTTTTATTGAAGGGTAAAGCAGAAAATTTTGCTAGTTTGCAACCACTACAATCAGAAATATCACAAGAGTTTAAATGACCCAAAACACCACTAGATGCTAAGAAATTCAACCGTGATACAGACACATGTCCCAAACGAGAATGCCAAAGATAAAACTCAGATGACAAAGGACTCAAACGAAAAGAAGATAAATCAATGCTGGAAGCAGCAACAGCAGATACTTTGAGGACCTCCAAGACATATAGTTCCCCCACCCTACGGCCGATCCCAATCACCTTCTGGGTGTGTTGATCCTGTATAACACAGACAGAATCAGAAAAGAACACCCAGTTACTAGACTTGCATAACTGACTGACTGAGGCAAGGTTCAAAGTAAGTTTGGGAATGTAATAAACATCAGGAAGAGTTATATGAGAAACGGAGACAGACCCAACACCCTCAACTAGCATAGATGTATCACTAGCAGACTTAACAGAAATAGATGACACTTGCGACAAAGAAGTAAATGATAACAAATGAGGAGTCATATGATGGGTTGCACCAGAATCTAAAATCCATAAAGATGAGGGAATACCTGAAGTGTCAGATGAAGAAGGACCAGAATGAGACATAGATGTAGACATGGCAGTGGGATTAGAAGCCAGATACTGTCTAAAGCTCTCAAACACCTTGGGATCCAATGCAGATGGTGGTATATGTCCAACAGATTCTGTGTCAACTGGTGGAACAGCAGCAACAGCAAACTGTGGAGGACGAGGGGTCCATGGAGGAGTACCAGAGGAACGCGACTGATACTTCTGTTGACCAGACCTATTTTGTTGCCCTGACTGAGGTTGACCAGATTTACCCTTGTTGACTAACAATGGACACTGAGCTTTCCAATGATTCTTCTGTTTGCAGAATGCACACTCATCATAAGCGACTCTTGAAGTTTATCGAGATTGACTGGAGGAGACAGCAAGCACAGCAGGAGCGGGAGTATGAGTAGAGGTTGCTTTAAACCCTTTATCTGCATGGGACTTGATACGAGTCTCTTCTGCAATTAACTCATGGACAACTGAATCAACTGAAGGAAGAGGAGAGCGATGAAGAATTGTTCCACGAAGACCTTCAAAATCAGAACGCAAGGCCATCAAGAACTGAACCAAGCGTTGTTCTTCCCTCCTAGCAATGTAAGGCTCAAAATCTTTTAACTCTTTAGATTCAGTAAGAGCCAATTGATCCCAGAGATCAGACATAGCAGCATAGAAATCTTGAATGCTCTGGTCATTCTGTTGAAGGGCACGAATATCATATTCCAATTGGTATTGTTTAGCAAAATTGGACTGAGTATACAGTCTCTCCAAGTGATTCCAAACTTCCTTTGCTGTATCATACTTAGCCAACTGCATACCAATGGACTGAGTAACAGAGTTATTGATCCAAGTAATAACCTTGGAGTTATCAGTCTCCCAAGCATCAAGCAACATATCATAATTCTCAGTTTGAGGCACTGAGGGTTTGGCTTTAGTCCCAGTGACATAGCCCCACATATTCTTCCCACGAAGGAAGTTCTTCATAACGTAACTCCAATACGTATAATTCTTTCCATCCAAACGAGTACTGATTGACTGAAGGGAATCATCCTTTCCAGTCATGTTGATAGTGAATGAATAACCACAATGACAATATAATAATCTGAGAATGAAAGGAGTAACAAACCAGCGGAAGCAATCACTTGAATAACGAATCAACAGCAATTATGAACCAACAGCAGCAACGAACCGACAGCAGCAACGAACCGACAGCAGCAACGAATCAACAGTAGCAACGAATCAACATATAAAAAAAAACAAATACCAGTGATAATGAACGAAAACGGCATGCCACAGATGACTGCTACAAAGACTTCTAACAACGTATCAAACCTCCGCTCTGATACCATGATAACATTGTCATATGATTATATCAAAGAGAAATTACAAGGGTTCTCAGAGAAAAGCATAAAGACTACAAGGAACAAAGCGGATATAAATACTAGCTAGACAGAAACCCTAATGGGCTAAAGACAAAAAAGGGGCCCTTAAACAAGCGGGCTAATAATATAGACTAACACTTCTGTACCTCATTTCTTGGCCAACTTTTCTTTTTTGAAGTCACTCCAGCTAAGTCAATGTTTGCTTGCGAATGAATTCACCGCAGCCATACTTGAGCTGCCAAAGTTGCAAGTTCTTAATTTGGAAGACAATACCAACCTCACTGGTTCCTTTCCAGAATTTCATGGCAAAAGCTTACTAAAAGCGGTGATATTAGATGGCACAGGTTTCTTTGGGATTATACCAGAATCCATAAGCCACCTCAAGCATTTAACAGTCTTGTCCCTTAATGATTGCTATTTTGTGGGGAGGATTCCACGTTCACTCTCTAACTTGACGCAACTCACTTACTTGGCTCTTGGTGTCAACAAGTTCACAGGCTCAGTTCCTTCGTTGGTAAGTCTTTCGAAACTCGAGGTTTTGCAACTTAGTGGTAATAAATTTGAGAAAGGATGCTTTCCCAATTGGCTTGGAAAGTTGACTGAACTTAGTGAACTCTATTTTTCCTATATGAACATAAACAGCCAACTCCCACTCTTTCTTGTCAACCTAACCAAACTCAGCGAGCTACATTTAGGGAAAAATTCTCTTACTGGTCGTATACCATCCTGGTTGTTCAACTTCACCCAACTAACAAAATTGGATCTTCACATGAATCAATTGCACGGACCAACTCCAAACACATTTTCCATCTTCAAAAGTCTTGAGTTTCTTGACCTAGGTTCAAACAATTTCAATGGTAGGGTAGAACTGGACATGTTTCTAGGACTCAACAAGCTCCAAACACTCTCGTTAGGTTATAACAAGATATCATTAGTAGTCCCCAACAACTACACCAATACCAGTTTACCAGAATTGGATTGGTTAGGACTGTCATTATGCAACTTGAAGGAATTTCCTGCCTTTTTGCGCTTCCAAAATAAACTGCATACCTTACTTCTTGACTACAACAAAATTGATGGCCCAGTACCGGTGTGGATTTGGAACAACAGCCGGGAAACACTAAAGTTGATTGACCTTTCAGGCAACTCCATCACTGGCTTTGATCAGCATCCTCATTTTCTCCCATGGACAAATTTACAAGCATTTTTTATGGACAATAATCAGCTACGAGGACAACTACCACTTCCATCACAAACCACAAGTATTTATGCTATCACACAGAATAATCTGACAGGTGAAATACCAGCATCGATATGTGAATTGAAATCTCTTCAACTGTTAGATTTATCTTTTAACAACATGAGCGGAACACTTCCTTCATGTTTGGGTATCTTAAGCAATTCCTTGATGTATTTGAATCTGAAACACAATAACTTCCACGGAAAAATTATGAACACTTTTACGCTTGGAAGTATGTTGACAGAACTTGATTTGAGCGAAAATAGATTTACGAGTCAACTGCCAAGATCATTGACAAATTGTACAAATTTAGAGATTCTATCTCTTGAAGACAACTCTTTTCATGACGCCTTTCCTTCTTGGTTGGGAAGTCTTGCGGAGCTACAAGTTCTAGTTTTGCGGTCCAACAATTTTTATGGTCCAATTCAAGGTTCCTCACAGTTCCCTAAGTTGCGGATCATAGACTTCTCTAACAACAATTTCAGTGGTCAGTTGCACCAAAACTTCTTTCTAACATGGCATGTCATGAGCTATGAAAATCTTGGTGTATCATCTGTTATGAAATCAGGAATATCCTCCAAAAGTGTCTTTACAAATGTAACATACTCAGTGACATTAATACACAAAGGTGTCAGAACAGAGTACGACCAGATTTTAACCATAGATATGGCTATTGATCTCTCTTGTAACAATTTTGAAGGAGAGATCCCGCAATCACTCCAAGATCTTCGAGGGCTTCAAGCACTCAATCTTTCCAACAATCGTTTTACTGGACGTGTCATGCCATCTTTGGGTAACCTAAAGAATCTTGAAGCTTTGGATCTCTCTCGAAACGAACTATCCGGGGAAATTCCTCAACAGTTGGTGCAACTTGGCTTCCTTGCCATTTTCAATTTGTCATTCAACCATCTTCAAGGGCGTATCCCACAAGGAAAACAGTTTGATACATTCGATAAGAGTTCTTACATAGGGAATCCCCGACTATATGGACGACCTTTATCTAAGGAAGGTCAAGATTTAAAGGTGCCGAGCGTTCCACCAACAAGCAATGTGTCTGAGTCTCTCTTCCCGAGTGAAATAACTGATTGGATCTTTGTATTATGTGGAGTTGGAAGTGGGCTGGTTGTTGGGGTTGTTATTGGAAACTTTTTATATGAAAGGTATAGTGATCGGTTCACAAAGAGGAAGGACAGATGGGTAAGGCCACTTCGTAACACGAGGAGAAACTAAGGTACAATAATTCGTTAAATATTATTACAAGTTTGTATCGATATTTCAAGATGATAATTAGTTGTGCATATGTTGTCTCAACCAAATCGAAAATGTTTCTGCATGCCATCTAAAAAGGTATAATGCTTTTATATTTTTTCAACAAAAACCTTTTTTATTTTCACTTGGATATCTTACATGTCGAGTCAAGTAGGTAATGTTTGTCTATGTTTTAAGCATGGTATTCTCTTATAGTAAGTTCGTCATGATATTAAATCTTAGTTTTGAAAGTTATGTTATAGTACATGACTAAAGTAGTACTTTTTCTATAACCAATATTATAACCCGGTTTTTAGATGCTCATTTTACTATTGCGGATGCAGTACTATTTTCAATTGATAGAAAACCATAAACTTACCATCATTGAACCTAACTTAGCATGTATCTCAGGAGGTGTCATAGCTTGAAGTTTGAAGGGTAACGAGAAGGCGTAGAAGACCTTCAAGGAATTTAGCATGGTGTGTATTAAGTTTAAATTAGTGTTCATTTCAATTGGATTTTCCTTAAGTAGACTGTCATCGTAAGATTTTTGATGTATCATATATTTTCACTTTCATCGTTTAAGTTTATCATTTATTGTGGCATGATCGTACACTCTTATCGAAACTATTGGTTAGTAGTCGCAACTTCAAATTTTGGGTTGTGATACTACGAGTTTCATATATATTAAACTTTTAAATAAAATAAGTGAATGCCATTGTTAGTATTAAATACAAAATTTCTTTTATTACCAATAAATTACTACAACTTTACAACGCAAAAATACAACTTTACAATGAAAAAAATGTAACTTTCAAGTTTTGGAAAGTTACTCAGTTTCATCCCCAATTTTAACACCAGCTCAAAAAGATACATAAATTAAAATGTTTCAATGCAAAAATAATAATAATTATTAGGGAGGAGGGAGTCATTCCCTCCCAACCCACCGAACTCATTGTCACATCAGTTTTTCTTTTTTATTTTTCTTCATCTTTCTCAACCCACAACACACAGAAATCTTATCTTTCTCAACCCACGGTGTTATAATATGTTTTCTAGAAAATAAGTTATCTAGAACTCAAGGTTCTCAAAAACTCATCATAACTTTGTCATGACGCGTCATGGTTCCAAGGTTTATACTTGTCACCAAGCTTTAACAAATTGTCGTCTTAAGTCATATATGCATATAAAAATGAATAATAGTAGAAAATACATATAAAATTTTTAACTACATATAAAATTGTCGCCTTAAGTCACGTTTTACAAACGACGTGGCTCGCCAAGAATCGTAAAAACTTAAGATTTGACACTGCTGCCAAGTCACGCCTTACGCTATTTAGAACATTGCTAAAACTTTATAATCTAGCTGATTAAAACTAATATTTAATAAAAATTGTGTACAAATATAAAATGGCATAACATGGTATTTAGAATAATTATTCGATATTATAAAACAAAGACATAATACATTAAATAAGATTAAAGTAAATACATTAATAATAGTTCTTTTATTATTTATATTTAACTGAATTTCTTGCATCCCATATCACATTTGAAATATTATCACAATTTTCTCGCATATAATGGCTTGACTCTCGAATGATTAAATCTTGAAGGGTAAAATGACAACAATGCCCTACAAACTTTTTGGGGTTTACCCGTTGAGTCCCTAATGTTTTTATCGAGCTTTATGGGTCCCTAAACTATTATATGACCTGCTCTTTTAGTCTCTGTCAACCTGTAATAGTCGGTTCAATGACCTTTTAGACCAAGAAAACTCACATTGTGCCCCTATAAAGCCAACAAAATTAAGTTCAATGATCAATTCGTACCAAAAAAACTCTCATTTTCTTCCAAAGTCGATTCACACTCAATTCGAAGAAAAAAAGAGATTAACTCTCGTTTTTCCTATGAACATCATCAAACCCACACATCCTTCTCAACATTGTATCCATTAAACTTGCAACTCGGAGGAAGAAGGAGAGGTAGCTTGTGCAATTTTGAACTGAGAAGAAGAAATGAGAGGGTCAATTCCATGAAGAGTTGAAATCGAATCAAAGAAAATAGTGGAATGGGGTTGTAATCGAGAATCGATTAGAAGGGGAAGAGGGTTGTGATCTTTGGTGAGTGTGTGTGACGATCGAGGGTGAAGACAGAAAGAAAAGCAGCAATCATTTTCTTGGGAGGGTTCGAATTGAGTTTTTTTGGTCTAAAAGGTCACTGATTTTTTTTTTTTTTGCTTTATAAGGGCACAATGTGAGTTTTTTTGGTCTAAAAGGTCACTGAACCGGCTATTACAGATTGACAGGGATTAAAAGAGAAGATCATATCCTAGTTTAAGGACTCATAAAGTCCTACAAAAACTTTAGGGACTCAACGGATAAACCCTAGAAAGTTCATAGGGCATTTTTGTCATTTTCCCAATCCTGAATGATCATATAGTTTTTCTGTAGCTATGTAATCATTATATTTTAACAATGTTAACATCATATTTATTGAGTTAATCCCTCGAATATTGTTATATGGGTAAATGTCGCCCTTAGCTCATCTATTTGAGTTTTTTTACTAAATTTTGGAATTTTTGTTCAATATTTACCACCTCTTTTTCAACACCCGAAACAAGCATTTTATGCAAATTTGAAGAGATGGGTGTAAAAGATTGAAAACCTTATGAGTATTAGTTGGAAGCACATTGATTGGTGATATTTGATACATGGGTATGGTGCATGATATCCTTTCTGGTCAGGGTATCTTTTGTCTACTATTTAATATTTTCCAATATTAAAAAAATATAAAGAACTTGATGGGTTTTACATGCAATAACGCGGATAAATCCTTAACACTTAAGGGTACATGCAACCTATTAGATCTATGTCATAACACTATTGAAGTAACATTCTATTAAACAACAAGAACACTATGAACCCTACGTATTTTCGAAATTGACAAATAAGTTAGAAATTACATACCTTTTTTATTGTTGTAGTAAACAATCAAACTTATCATTCCTGAAATACTCTTGGAAGCAAGCACCACAAGTGTCATGTCTCTAATGGTTCACACCCAAACCCTGGCAACAAAGGAAACTTGAAGAGAGATGATAGAAGAGACAAAATTTCGGTTATACTCTTGAGGAGTCAAGTGGCCGGAATTTAGAGGCTATGAGACCCTATTTATAGCTGACCGGGAAACCCTAGATAACCCTTACTTGATTAAAATAATAATATCTTAAATCAGGTAATTATCTGGTTTCTTAATTATTTTCAAGGGATATTCTAGAAACCCTAGAATCACTCCAAAAATCGTCCACCTCTTATGAGGAAGGTTCTGAAACCCTTTTGTTCAACTATTGACTAATTACAACTTAGGTCATTGTACTTTTAATGAATCGAATTAATTCTAATTAATTTCTGATTAATTCTTAATTAAATAACAATATTTCTAATTAATATATTATTCTCATAATATATTAAGCAGTCATCTATTTTGTTTTCTAATTAATTTATTAATCGTATAATAAATTAATAAATCAGTTTTTTTCTCTCTTTCTAAAAGTTATAGTAATAATACAAATGATGAGCAAATACCAAATCATTATACTTTCCTGAGCATTAGGAAAATTCACAGAAGGTGTCTCAATTGTATGAACGAACACTTAGGTATCATATGTTGATCCTTCCTACCCGATGGATATAAACGTAATGCAATCTTGTTATAAAAAAGGTTTAAATTACAATATAAAACCGCATGTAAATAAAATATCACAATCATTTACCTTAAAATGAGGCATATATCGACTAAAAGGTGGTATGCATTGAAAATTGAAATGTTGCATCTTTCAATCTAATATACCCATGTTGCAAGACCTATTAACCCTTTTCTATGTTCACATATGGATTCCCACATGTCATTTCTAGCTCGATTGACTGTCTTTCTCTAGAACGTTGTAACCTCTCGGCAACATCACTTCACTGTCAACCAATATTTTCTTTTTGCAAGTATTCACAAAATTGTGTAAATATACTAGCACTCATTCGAAAAGTTCAACACATCAAATTGGATGACCATTCAAGATCTCTTTCATCTCTGTTTCTCCTATTTTATTTGGCATCATACATGACTCCGCGTAAATAATGTGTATTACTTGCTGCTATATTTTCTTCTAGATTACACAATGTTAAAAGTAAAAGAAGTTCAATCCTTTAAGTGTCATCTACATCAAGCCGCAATCATTAGAAGAATTAAAAATCAAATATATAAATGAGTACCAACTACAAAGACATGACGCTACTAAAATTTTAAGTTTTGCAAATAAACAATATTGAATAACATAAAACTAGACAAGTACTGGCATCAATAAGTTTGAAAAGTTCACATTTCGGTCATCACTAAGACATTTGAAGATCATATCGCTATTAGTGGGATCCCAAGACATAAACATTGCATGACACCAAATATATATCCCCACCAACCTCAACATCAAAATTTGCATCTATTCAGTTCATAATAAACATTATCTGATCGATACAAACGCTCTTAAACCTTAATAAATACATTCCCTAAAATAATAATTAAGCGCAAATATGTTCCTTTTTTTTTCCTTTCTGCCTACATACCAAGGGAAAACTTGACAATTTCAGAGCAAAAATACCTCTACTACATGACATACTTATAACAGCATCAATAATATTCCCAATACACACCATCTACCCAATAAAAAAAAAAAACCAAAGTAGATTATATAATACTAGAACACATTTTATACACATGAAATGTCTCAAAACCTCATCCAATGACAAATAATCACATCACAAGTTGAGTTGATAAAACAAAGAAGGAACAAGATCAACAACAGACCAAGCAAGACCAGCATACTGAACCAATCGGATACCCGTATCAACATCAAACGAATCCTCCCTTCTAAAAAACATCTTTTGTAGATACCCTCCTGAAGGTTTGACTTCATTTGACTTTTTGACCAC